TATGCCTACCCTTAGAGCCTATAAAATCTACATATACTCATTTATTAATAAACCTAACACTAAATTCTACCCCTAATGCTAAAAAGAACTCCAAAAAATGACCTTTAAAAAATTTTAAATTTTTTTTAAAAAACTAAAAAATTTCGGTTTGATCAAATTTTATTTTAATCTGTGATATTTATTAATCAAATGCATCCTTGCTAAAAGACAGAAGATCAATCAATCCTCTAACTGAAGGTTTGACAAAAACTCTTTTAAAATGAATTTTTGAAAAAAGAGATAACAGAAGAAATCATGTTTTTTGAAGATGCAGCAGAATGGAACCTACAAAAGCTAAGAATCTAGTTAATTATAAGAGCCTTCAAGAAGCTAAAAGCTTCAGAAACCAAGATTTTAAAGATTAACAAAAAACTCACAGAGTTTCAAGAACAAATTGCAGAAGATCAACTAAATCCTACATATATTCTGCATGTGAGAATCTCAACTCCTGTATGCAGAAAGAACTGATACTTCTGGCAGACAGATAGTAAATTTACTCAAAAGCAAGGTAAATCGAACAAGGAGAAAAGTTTACAAAGTACTTCTTTTCTTACTATAAGTCTTGATATACAAACTTAGCTCTCTTAATGGTTAAAGAACTTAACAACACAAACAAGAGCAGAAAAGAAGATACTTTGAAGTTTATTAAAGATCAATATAAAAAGATCTTTAAAAAAAAAACAGATCAAAAGATAATTAACAAATTGACTAGCAATTTGGCACAAGTGTTAGAAGAACTAAACATAGACTTAATCAAACCTATTACTCAGAAAGAGATTGCCAAACAATAAAGTAACTTCTGAATAGCAAATTACCAAGAATTAATGGTCTTAGTTATAAATTCTATAAACTTATAGAAGAACAGATAATTCCAGTTTTTAAAAAAATCTTTAATCAAGTCCTAACTGCAGGAATGCTCCTAGCATTCTGGTACAAAAATATAATAACTTTAATACCTAAAAAGTCAGCAAACTTAAACAACTTGGATAAGGGATGTGACAAAAATCAGATGATTTTTTAGAAAGAAGAAGAGGTAAAAAATTTAAAATTATATATAAAGACCTGATCAAAACATATAATAAGAGGGGAGAAGAGATAAGCTTCTGATAAAAAAAAATCAGGTGATAAATGATACTACTCAAACTAGAGGCTAATTTCATTATTCAACTGTGATTAAAGGTCAGAACCGGTTAATAAAATTTGGGTATAAATTCGGGTTAACCCGATTTAATATTAAATCGGTTTTATAATATCTTAACCCGATTGTAAGATTTGAACAAACCGGTTTTAGAACTTAAATCCGGTTTTACTTTTCCAGATTTCGAACATGCTATAAAGCAGCTGTGAATGAATATTGTTAATTAAATTTAAAGAATATCTCACCAATAAAAATTTAATTGCGCATCAATTGTAAGAGAAACTCCTGAATTCCATCGTTCAAAAATTAATTATATGCATGAGTTTGTTTTAACCCTACCTTTTAATAAACAATGAACAAGCCTCCAATAGATGATCATTCATTTGTTTAGTCCATTGACAACACTGCTATAAAATATTGTATTTTCATCATAAAATTGATTTATCGATTTAATCGACGTAAAATTAAATATTAAATACCTATAGTATTAGATAATAAGAGATTTAATATTTCAAATTATGTAGTCATCGAACAATAATGTATTATATCATTTTATTATATAGCGATCAAATTACATTTTAATAAATATATAATGATGAATTGTACCTATTTCAATTTTCTTTAATAAAAAAAAAAATAAGCCAGAATTTTTCTTATTTCTGAAACAATGCAGCGTTCTGAATCTTTAGATAGTCAATTTGAAACAATGCAGCATTCTGAATCTTTAGATAGTCAATCTGAAACAATGCAGCATTCTGAATCTTTAGATAGTCAACTTTCTGATTCTTCTGCCACTAATAATACACCATCCCAAAAAAGTAAAAAAGTTCGCAAAAAGCTGCGAGCAAATCAAAGTCATACAAATTACTTTTTTCAGGAAAATGAAAAGAATTCACAAGTAGTTTATTGCAAAATTTGCACTAATAACTTAAATGATAGTTCTAAAAAACCTTATCCTTATATGAGAAAAGGTGGAAACACCACAAATTTAATTGGTCATTTACGAGATAAGCATAATATTACTAAAGCAAATTATAAGCAATATTTGAATGCTGACAACGAAGTAACAATAATTTAATTTTTATAATTAAAAATTTTAACCTGTTATATTAATTATTTATTGTATGCATTAGATAATAAATCAGCTTATTGAAACGTGGGATGATATTTCTTATTGTCTGCCAGAAAAACAGGAGCTTGTAACTCGCAAGTTAATTACCTTTATTGTTAAATTCGTTCAACCATTATATATTTTGGACGATGAATCATTTCAAGACTTGATTATAACATGCATACCTGGATATAAAATTCCTTGTATAAAAACGGCAAAAGATATAATTTATAATGCATATCAACTAAGTAAGGATCAGCTAAAATCAATATTGGATATAGGTGTAGAAATAATATACCTAATGATGGATTTATAGACTGCAAAGTCGCAGCATAGGTATCTTGAAATAACTGGTACTTGGTTAACCCCTAATTTTGAATTTCATGAAGTTCTTTTAAAATGTGGACACTTGTCATATCCACATTCAGGAGAAATTATTAGCTAAGAATTATACAAAGTTATTCAAAAATAGAATTTACAAAGGTCCATTTTTACTATAGTAATGGATAACGGATCAAATATGATCTGTGGAATAAATTTACTTTCAGAAAATTATTTTTCTTCTGTTATTAGACAACTCTGCGTAGCCCACACATTACAACTTTCTGTACAAGAGGGGCTTAAACAATGTAAAGGCTTTCATCGACAAGTAAAAAATTTGCAAACCTTTTTTAAGCTTCCAAAGCAAGCAGAAAGGCTTCAGATTGCTCAAAATG